AAAATAAAATAAATAAGATTCTACAGCTGTGGCCAGCACAGTGGCTCACGCCTATAATTCTAGCACTCTGGGAGGCTGAGGTGGGTGGATTGCCTGAGCTCAGAGGTTTGAGACTATCCTGAGTTCAAACTAAAACAATTGAAAGCCAGTTGAAAGCAGAATTCAAAAAAAAAAAAAAAATTCCATGGCTGAAAAAGATGGAAATTTTGTGTGGTAAGCCAGGCCACCTTCTTTTCATGCTGCCTGAGCTCCTAGTGTATGGACTTTATTCGGGAATTGTTCTCCTAACCTTGGCCAGAGATAATTAGGTTCTTCCTAGAATGAATCTACTTCTTTCTTTGCTTTCCTTCCTTCCAGGTGGATTGACCCAGGACCTGAAAGCTGCTTTCAGATACTTTTTGATGGCATGCGAAAAGCCTGGAAGGAGGTCTCTAGAAGCATGTCACAATGTTGGTCTCCTGGCACATGATGGACGGGTCAATGAGGATGGCCAGCCCAATGCGGGGAAGGCCAGGGACTACTATACAAGGGCCTGTGATGGTGGCTATGCCGCCAGCTGCTTCAACCTCAGTGCCATGTTCCTGCAGGGTACCACTGGCTTTCCTAAAGACATGGGCCTGGCCTGTAAATACTCAATGAAAGCCTGTGACCTGGGCCATGTTTGGGCCTGCGCCAATGCTAGCCGCATGTACAAGCTGGGGGATGGTGTCGACAAGGACGAGGCCAAGGCTGAGCTGCTGAAAAACAGGGCCCAGCAGCTACACAAAGAACAGCAAAAAAACATCCAGCCCTTAACGTTTGGGTAATATGGCCCCTCTTCCCTCCCAGGCAACAAACAGCATGAGACTTGGCACTGCCTGTTTTTGAGGCCTGATACAGCCCTATTTGAATCAGTAGCACTGGTTCCAGAGATCCATTGCCCCAGAGTGTGGCTCACTGGGATGCAGCCTGCAGTGTTTATTTCAGTCCATTCCTTTATCTGGGTATGTTCTGTGAAGACACCCAGATCTTAATTTTCAGACTCTTGGAACTCTGTGAAAAAATAGGAGCAAACTAAGAGAGCTGTAGAGATGAGGGTTGGGGGTAGATAGCAGCAAACTGGAAAACAGCAGCCATGGGGCCCGACAGCATCAGCCATTGTCATTGTTGTCATCATCATCATCAGGGCTTGAAAATCAGAAAGTACCTTGATTTAGGTAATAGAGGTCTTGAGCTAAAAACAGCTAAATAGTCGTGACCACCACCTCTGACTTACACGATGACTGATGTAGGCTTGCTTTTTGCCTTAAGAGTCAGATCTCTCAGTAAATTCATAGAAATCAGGAAGGACTTACAACATAAAGGTTAAAGGCTGTTAGGCTCAGGTTGCTACAGAGGAAACCTAAGCCTGCTTTCCTCTGGAAGAGACATTCACAGCTGAAAATTAGCATCTCCAGTATAGTTACCTGGCACTGCCCATCATGCTGAGGGAGCAGATTATCCCCAAGGCAACTTCAGCTAGGATTGGTAAGCAAGGACTCTGTGACATTCATCCCCTGGAACTGAACGATTTTAATTGTCCCTGTGAATAAACTAACTATTTTGATTAATTTATAGTTTGTGTTGTTAGTGTTCTCTCCAGATTCCAGGGAGGTAGTGGTTATACCTTTTTTCTTCTTTTTTTCTTTTTTTTT